ATTTGTTGTAAATTTGTCTTTTGATAACTTCTAGAGCTCTAATTCACCTACTAGAGTTGAAATTTGTGAGTTAGCCATTTTCTGCACACCTCCTCTAATCTTATTATCACTCACAATCAAGTCCCTTTCTTTTAGATGCCTTCCTATACCCTAGTACCCTGCTTCATCAACCTTGATCAAAAACAAAACCCCAAAACAAATACCACCCTTCCCCCAATGCCAACAAAAACAAATGAAAGCACTTGCAAGTATTACACAAGAAAGGAAAAGGCTAAGGAAGCAGCACTATTGAGAACATTCTGTACACTAGAATCAGGAGCACTTATGTTCAATTCCTGTGAAACTACCTAAAATAACTATGCAATAAGACTATTAGAACTACTTAAGACAATTAACAACTTTAAACTTTCTTCTGATGGCCAATTCTAAGAGAAACATTTTCTAAAGAAAATTAAAACACAAACTTATACATTAGGAACATTTATACATGTTTAAACTTACCTGAAGGATTTTGTAGAAGCTTACTTCCATACCAGGAACCAACTGTTTAAGCTTGTTCATTAAATCAAGAGTTTTCAAAACTACATCGGCAGCAAGTTTGCTTTAAAAATAAGTCATATCTAAATTAGATAACTCAAAAAATTTCTTACAGCTTATGTCTGTCCATAATTCTATTGAAAATGAAAAAAGTCAATACTTTTGTTTTTAAAACTCAAGAAGATGAAGTATTATTTCTGTTGACAAGTAAAAATATCATAGAGATCAAGTTTTATAACTCAAGACCTAAACAGAACAAATTGGCATTAATTGTTTAAGCTTAGAGAGTATTTCTTTCTATACTCTCAAATACCAACATGCTTCAACTTTGTGCTTCAAATAACCAGTAGTCCTGGAATGTAACGCATTTAATTCTTAGCTTTGGCATGGCATAACAATGGGGATAATCGTAGGCAATATGGAATATCTAATATGCAGTGAATGAATTATACTAGGCCATGTTATTAGCTTTGCACCTGAAAGGGAGAACAAAAAAGTAAAAAGAGATAATCCTTGCTCTCGAAGACCATGATCACTGACAATTATGACATAAACAATATAAATCACAGATGTTAATACTTTTCTTCAGAAGCACACAATCTATAAATTAAATGAATTTTTAAAAAATCCACTATCAATATATTTTTGTTAATTCTCTGCTATACTTTGAGTTAACAGACTATAACCCAAGGATGATCCTCCAAAAGGAATGAGAATAATGGCATCTTTTGATTTTATTGCCTTGTCCTTTTGCCATTAGATTTCATATACTCACCATAATTCAGAATCTGCTACCTTTGTTCCAAACCCCAGGTCAATCTTGCCGTATGTAAATTGTTGTTCTATCAGAGTGGTACACTTGATAGTAGTCAGAATTTTTGCAATATGCAGTTTCAGAGTATCATCTCCACACAGAGGTAAGTTTTGTTAAGATACACAAACAAAAAATTCTCAAAATACTTTATATTTGTAAAATACTTCATAACATTCAGGATGATTTCATACAAATCATGTCATCACTGCAGTATGGTGTAAACTGTTACATTAGCACAATGACAGAGTCGGAAACTGGTGCTCAAACCATTTAATTGACTGGTAAGTGGCAAAAGATGGACTGGCACTGAAAGTTTCTGACTCGAGGGTAAAACAGAGAAAGGATGTTTCTCCATTGGATGCTCATTTTTCTGTTATCATGGACCAGAATGGTTGAATAAATATTTGTTGAATTAAGGGAAGTTGCTTTCTCATATTTTGTATATTGTCTTGAACTCCTGACCTCAAGTGATCCTCCTGCCTGGGCCTCCCAGATTACAGGTGTGAACCACCACGCCTGGCGTATGTATTGTAAATTAATGTAAATATTTATCATTTAAAAAGGCCAAGTTATAGCATGATTCAACGAGAAGGCCCCACCAAATTAATTATAAATATCTCTAAGGTAAAGAAAAGTAATCACGTGTCTCTACTGCAGTGGTTCTCAACTTTGGCAACATGTTAGAATCACCTGGGTAGTCTAAACAATGACAAACAAAAAAACAATGCACAAACACACACCATCCATTGATTTCAGGGTTTTACATTATTCCAATCAAATTAGAATCTCTGGAAGTAAGGTTCCAGCATCAAAATTTTTACATGTTCCCTAGGTGATTTTAAATATGAAGCCAGGGTTGAAAGTCACTGCTGTAAAGAAAGAGGGAAATTAAGGAGTAGCAGCATAGAGAGGAGATCAAACAGAGGTGGAGTTTGCCCTAAGACAGGACAAAGTTGGGCATATTCTTGTTACTCCGTGATACGAGGAAA